AAGGACAACCTAACAGAACACAGTACAAAAGTGGAAACTCCTCATATCAGAAATCAGAACTGTCCTCCTTTACAAAGAATAGTCAGTCCCAGACTGGGCGAACAGGGCAATTCAGAAGTACACCTACTGACATAGTTAGAACTCTAAATCGGTCAGTGCAGTGTCGAGAGTGTGAAGGGTTTGGACATATACAATCTGAATGTGCAACTTATCTCAAAAGGAAGAAAGCTATGTCTGTGTCTACCCTAAGTGATGATGAAGAGGAAGCAACAGATGACCCGTCTGATGAAAATGTTGGAAACTTCGTAACCTTCTTCACAGCTACAGAGGATCACTCAGAAGATGAAACTGATGGAGAATCGTACATATCATCAGATGATTTTGAAGAGAGACATGTTCAGCTAGAGATGGAATTTGCTAAACTGGTTGGCAGTGGGGAACAACTGGTGAAAATCAACAAGAATCTGAATGAAGATCTAAAACACAGATATGAACTATTGAAGAAGCTAAACACTGAATTAGTCACAAAAGAAGATCTTATTGCTCAGATAAGATCTCGAGAGGGAAAGCTGATAAAAAACCTGGAGGATCTGAAGAAAATTATCAAGATGATGGATACCACATCTACCTTTAGACAAAATTCTGGACTCTGGTCGAAATCCTAATGATAAAAAGGGACTTGGATTTGAACGAGGTCAGTCCCCAATGTCAGCTCCTGTGTTTATCAAAGAAGGTACATCTGGTCGTGGCTCAGGTCTCTGTCATGAACGAGGTCAATCATCAAGATCAACTCAGTTCAATCAGAAAAGAAGCATGCGCACTCTGATTACTGAGGCTGAATCTAGCAGAGTCAAATTTCAGTCTCAGCACTCAAAGTTCAAGACTATGTTTGTTAAAGTTAAACAGTATGTACCCATCTGTCACTACTGTCTAACAAAAGGGCACACCAGACCTGAATGCTACTTCTTCTACAGAGATCAGAGGAAGGAGAAATATCAGAATAAGTCTATTACTCCATTCACAAAGCAGGTTTGGGTCAGGAAATCAGAAGTAATCTGCTATCCCACAATTGTTCTGACCGCCTCTATGACTGAAGCAAGATGGTACTTTGACAGTGGATGCTCCAGACATATGACTGGGAATGTCAAGTGTCTCATGGCCGTTCAACCTAGCAGTGGATCACTGACGTATAGGGACGGACAAAAGGGAAAGATAGTTGGTAAAGGTACCTTAGATGTGCCAGGATTGCCACATCTGGACAAGTTCTCTTAGTCAATGGCCTAAAAGCAAATCTTATTAGCATCAGTCAGCTGTGTGATCAGAATTGGAATGTGTGCTTCAACCGAGACTGCTGCAGAGTCCGTGATAAGGCAGATCAAGTGGTGCTCTTCTGACAATTGCCATGTTTTAACAAATGAAACTACCTATCTAATATAAAAAACAGACGAATCAAAACTGTGGCATCGGCGTTTGGGACACATAAATTTCAGAGATATGGACAAAGTGATCAAACTAGAAGCTGTTTGAGGGATACCAAAGCCCAAAATAGAACAGGAAGGAGTTTGTGGTGCATGTGCTATTGGAAAACAAATCAGGGCTCCTCACAAAGCAGTAAAGATGATTACTACTGAGAGATGTCTAGAACTGGTTCATATAGACCTTATGGGACCAACTCAGAATGAAAGCATTGGAGGAAAGAAATGCATCTTTGTGTGTGTGGAAGATTTCTCATGGTTCAGTTGGGTATATTTTCTACGAGAAAAGTCTGAGGCGTTTAATGCCTTCAAAACTCTGTGTATAAGAGTACAAAAAGAAAAGGACAAGCCCATTATAAAAATCCAAAGGTTGAGAAGTGATCATGGAAAAGAGTTTGAGAACTCCTTATACTCAGAATTCTGTTCAGAAAATGGGATAGCTCATGAATTCTCCGCTCCATGAACAGCACAACAGAATGGAGTTGTGGAAAGAAAGAATCGGACCTTGCAGGAAATGGCAAGAGTAATGTTACATGCATCACATCTGCCACAACGTTTCTGGACAGAAGTAGTGCACACATCATGTCATACAGTAAATAGAGTCTATCTCAAACCAATTACGTATCAAACACCATATGAGATATGGAAAGGAAAGAAGCCAAACTTGAAGTACTTTCATGTGTTTGGAACAAAATGTTATGTTCTAATTGATCGGGAACAAAGAGGAAAGTTCGAGCCCAAGAGTGATGAGGCCGTATTTCTTGGGCACTCACCAAACAGTCCAGCTTATAGGGTCTACAACAAAAAAACTCAATCAGTCATGGAATCAGTGAATGTTGTTATTGATGATAGTCCAGAATAATCAGATGAAGCATTTGTGACTGATTCGGCGACAGATCCCCCTCTCAGTGATCCGCCAAAAACATCTGAGACAACCAAACTGTTTGACACACATGAATCGTCAGAGGAAGATGAAAGTAATTTAGAAAATGACAAATTGCTCTCTGATGGAGATGGAAAAAATAAACCCACCAGAACTCATAAAAACCATCCCTCAGACAACATTATTGGTGATCCAACAGATGGAATGCACACCAGAAGCCGAATGAGAAACAATCTGATAGAAATAGCTGGTTTCGCCTGCTACACCTAAAAAATAGAGCCAAAAAATGTGAAGGAAGCCTTGCATGATAACTTATGGGTTAAGTCAATGCAAGAGGAGCTACATCAGTTCGAACGAAATCATGTGTGGGATTTGGTTCCAAGACCTGACAGAGTTAACATAATCGGAACAAAGTGGATTTTCAAAAATAAAACTGATGAAGCAGACAACATTGCAAGAAACAAAGCTCGTTTAGTGGCTCAAGGGTACACTTAGATAGAAGGAGTTGACTATGATGAGACATTTGCACCTGTTGCTAGATTGGAGTCAATTACAATCTTACTAGCAATAGCATGCATTCTGGGGTTCACACTGTTTCAAATGGATGTCAAGACGGCATTCTTGAATGGTTATTTGCATGAAGATATTTATGTGGCTCAGCCTAAGGGATTTGAATATCCAGTTCATCTAACTCATGTCTACAAACTTAGGAAAGCTCTCTATGGACTCAAACAGGCTCCAAGGGCATGGTATGAACAACTGACACAGTATCTGTTACATCATGGTTATGATTGAGGGAGTGTAGACAAAACGTTGTTTGTCAAAACCACTGGAAGTCATGTTACAATTGCTCAGATCTACGTAGACGATATTGTTTTTGGGTATACTCTACAGAAGTATACTGATGATTTAGTGAAAATCATGAAGGAAGAATTTGAAATGTCCATGGTTGGTAAACTAACTTACTTCCTAGGGCTTCAAGTTAAACAAAGTTTTGAAGGATACTTTATCTCACAAGAAAAGTATGCTAAGAATTTGGTCAAGAAGTTTGATCTGGAATCATGTAAGACCCCTAGGACTCCTATTTCTACCTCTACAAAGCTGTCTAAAGATGATGCAGGTCCATCAGTAGATTCCACTATCTATCGAAGTCTGATTGGAAGTTTGCTCTATCTAACTGCAAGTCGACCAGACATAATGTTCAGTGTTGGAATGTGTGCAAGATATCAATCTGCTCCCAAAGAATCACACTTGATAGCTGCGAAACGGATTTTGAAATACATCAAGGGTATAATTCAATATGGAATATGGTATTCCAAGGACATTGAACTGAGTCTGATTGCTTACTGTGATGCTGATTGGGCAGGAAACATTGACGACAGAAAAAGTACATCTGGTGGATGCTTCTTTTTTGGGAAGAATTTAGTGTCATGGCTAAGTAAGAAACAGAATTCAATTTCTCTGAGTACAGCTGAGGCAGAATACATAGCAGCGGGAGGATGTTTCACTCAACTTGTATGGATGAAGCAAATGTTGTTGGATTATGGTCTATCTCAAAAAACTATGACACTTTACTGTGACAATGTCAGTGCAATAAACATTTCAAAGAATCTTGTTCAACACCCCAGGACCAAACATATTGATATAAGGCATCACTATATCAAAGATTTGGTCAAATCAAAAGAGATCAAGTTGGAATATATTCAGACTGACAAACAGTTGGCAGACATACTGACTAAGCCTCTAGACGCAAATCGGTTTGAGATTCTCATATCTACTCTCGGGATCTGCAGGATGGACTGTTAAGACAGAATGGTAAATCAGAAGGAGAGTGTATGGTTTTCTCAGCCTCAAGTCAAAGTTCAAATCCTTAACTTCCTAAATTAACTCCCTTCTGTTTTGTTAAGAAAATATCTTAACCTAGCCTATCAAAAATAAATTTGCATCTTTCAAATTTCAAATCTTCCATTTTATCCCTAAAAAGGAGCTATACCGTTGCATCAGTCACCTCATAGCTGCATGCATCCTGACAACCGCATTGATTACCGTTCATCACCCTTGGGATTATATACTTCATCTGATCGATCGTAGTGGAAGAAGAGTCCTCAACACTACTCTGTTCTCGGTTAATCCTCTCTCAAAACATCTCTGCCTAGGGTTTTTTTATTTTCCACTCTCTCTCTCTCTCTCTCTCTCTCAAAAAGAAGAATTTCCCAGATATGGCCTACGCAGTGAGGAACATCATTATCAAATTGGGAAAGAAAAATCACTCACCAGAGAAAGCTCAGAAACATGTGAAAACGCTCCTCCAACTCGCAATGAAGAAGAAACTGAAATTGGACCCTGTTCTTCGCGACGAGATTCTGGTCACTGTGATTTCAGACTACCCTGAGTTCTATGAGGACTGGTCAGATGATGATACAACCAACCTCTTGGTGATGGCTTCATAAGCGGGTGATGATATTAGCCCTGCCTCTATTGACGAACCAGATGATGGGAATCGAGCAGGGGCGTTCCTCAAATACTTTGCACAAAGAGCTCTGGAATGGGAGGAGATTTCTAGACGAATGGCAGAAACTCGTCCCCTCTACCTTCAAGAAGCCTAGGAAGAAGCAAAACACTGACTCGAGATTTTACGAAACATGTCAAATACTTCTGACACTCCTATTGAAATCTCTCATGATAAACCTTCTGAGTTGTTTTCTGTTGATGCTGAATCTGTGCTTCCTGTTGAGAAGCCTGATATTAGTCCGGAGTCTGTATCACCCTTATTATCTGCTAAGCCTATTGAATCTGGTGATCCACCTCAGTTGTCGACTGAAAAATCTGTATCTGCGAAACCTGACCTTGAGACTGAATCTGAGAGAAATGTTCACGAGTCTGTCAATACTGAAAAATTGAGTTTGGTTGTGTATTTTGAGAATGTTGATCGTTCTGTGCTTTCTGTTGATCCTGTGTCTCATATATCTGATAAGTCCTCTATTGAGGATTGCCCAGTTGAAGTTCCACAAAAGTTGTCTGTTGAGCCTGTTGCAGAACTGTCCGTGTGCCCTCGTCCTTCTGAGTCGATTGATGGTATTCCTATTTATACATCCTCCAACTTGGCTGAGAGCCTTGACCATATTCGGCACTTTGCGGGATTACCTTCTGCCTCGGTACTTGAACCATACAGAGTCATACATCCGACGAATGATTCTTCTGTGTAGATAGACAATGATGATGAAAGAATTTTGGCTGAAGTCTATGGATCACAAGCTCCATCCTTTGACCCAATTGGGTCTCTGACAGTGGAAGAGACAGCTCACCCGGACTCCACAACGTTCAAAATCAGAGAGGTCATCAAGCTTCTTGCTTCCTCTACTGTTCATGTGTCTGAGACCAGCAATTCTGTATCGCCAAACCCTACAAAGAGCTCCCCTGTCAGAGAAATGAGAAAGTCCAAATGAAAAGGAGTTTCAGAGAAGATTGTTGTGGGTACTAGAGGAGATGAACATATTGAATCTACTCAACCAGAAAAGAAAAGAAAGTCAGCTGATTCTGAGAAGGCTGAAAGTGATCCACCGATCAAACAAGTGTTTAAGACCCTGAGGTCTTCTGTTAAAAATAAGGCTCCTACAGTTGTTCCATCAACAACAACCAGAAAAATGAAAGCTACTTCAAAAGCAAGAGGAAGGAGTGTTACTCCTGATATGCAGATTGCCTCTGACAGCCCTGATGCTTCTGTTTACACACCACAGTTTGTCTCAGCAACTGCTCAAGACAAATGGAATACAATGGTGAGACGAGAGCTGATTGTACAGAGATCAGTTGACGAGAATCAATTGAATTCAGTCTGCAATATTTTGCCTCTGCTAAGTGAGGTTGGCCTGCTGAAGATAGTGACATCCATCTGCTCATACTCAAAGTTGCTCACCTACGAGTTCTACTACAATCTGAATGAGGAGATTGACAATCTTACCAGTGAAAGGTGTCAACAGATCTTTATTACGGGAAAGTGGTATGTGTTCCGACCAGACATGATTAATGAGTACTCAGGGATGAAGCCGGTTGAGGAAGAAGAAATTTCTGACTGGGATTTGGTTGCAAAGACTCTCACTGGAGGACTGGCTCCAGTTTGGCCAACAGGTGATAATGATACCTTGTCAAGCTCAGAATTTACCTCCAAGTTTGTTATTCTGCACCGCATTGCTTTGCACAACTGGCTTCCATCAGCACACTTTCATACTGTTGGAAAACAACTAGCTGCTCTTCTGTTTAGAATTGGCACCAAGATGACAGTTGATCTGGGGAGATGGATCTTCTATCATATTCTCACCTTGATACATCCCAGGGAACAGAAGGTACGACTTCCGTATCCTAATCTCATCTTTGGAATATTATCTTCACAAGGCCTGGTTCCAATGCAAAGTGAGATCATTACTCCGTCTCTGCTGTATACTGTCGATCCATGACTATTAATCGGCAAACATATCTGGGATGTTACGCCTGTGATGCTCCTCCATCCTCTGAAGCTGACACTACTATTGAGGATTCTCCACATGCTCAAGATGTGCAGTTATCTCTACGACTGAAGGCTCGTGTGTCTGAGCTAGAGACTGTGACCAGCATTATCACAAATCAGCTCAATGCGGCCCGCACTGAACTTGCAACTGTTTTACTCAGATTGAGCTTGACTGAATCTGCTGCTGGTGAGAATGTGAAGCCTGACGGAGAAGGTTCCTCTCATGCTTAGTGTTTCCTTTGTCTATCTTTTGGCAAAAAGGGGGAGTGGTGGTTAAACTCAGGGGAGTTTTTTTATGGTTGTGATTGTGATGGTGTATCTTCTGGCCCTGTCTGGGCGTGTTCTTGTGGTGGCTTACTGTTTTGTGAAGAACAAATCTGGGTTACGGTTTTATCCAGCACGGCTTGTGTGCTGATGAATGATTCTGTGGGTTGTAATTCAAATATTATTTCCTTTATGTACTGTTCTGTTTTCACTCTATCTTTAGCTAATATCGATATTCTTAGTCGATTTGTTTTGCCAAATAATAGCCAAAGGGGGAGTTTGTTAGTGTTTTATTTTTTTCAAAACCCCAACATATAATTGACAATATTATTATGGAAAATTAAGATAGGGTTTAGCTTGGTGTCTATTTGTTCTTATAGACGACTGACCGATCAGTATAATCAACAGACGCCCTACCACTGAAGATCTGATAAAGGAAGACGTTTCCAAAAAGCTTAACGCGGTTTGTGATGACAGTTTTGAAAATAATATCAGCGTGGAAGGTATGGACCGAATCTTGAAGATTTCATTCTTCACAAAAATTCCTACCATCTACAATCAAAGATATTTTTGGAGAGTGTTCTTACCAAGGAAGTATTTATATCCTCATTCGATCAAGAATTAGGGTTGCGTTGATTGAAGCCAAAAACACTCGTTGCTAAACAGAAACACACATCCCTGATTGTCATGCCTCTTCTCAAGACAATAAGTTCTTGGTGATTATGATGAAGAACTTGAGAAGAATCAACGTTTCTTAAACGATAGGACGCGAAGATCACTAAGTTGTGGGAACAACGTGGGACTGCGTCATTGAAGCGGACTACATCAGAGTTAGCTCTCCAATTGAAGGGATTTTATTGGACTTCTGCATGCGTGGCTCTCCGACTTCAACAATCCACTAAACCTTTGTAGACTGAGTACTGACCTTGTGTGGGGCACTTGGGTGAGATTGTTGTTTCTCTACCTTTGTAAATTGGATTATGATTTAGTGGATTGGACGCCTTGGTGATCGTCCCCCAGATGTAGATACACACTGTATCGAACTGGGTAAACATCATATGTGTTGATTTATTTTCTGCTTAGTCTTCCGCTTTAAAATAATCTGTTTTCCAACTGGATGACTGATTAATTAAGTCTCTGAATCAGTCAATCCAGTATTCCAGTTGCTAGAAACTAAATCGATATTCTTTTACTGAGAATATGCAAAATTACAAGGACGAATCAATTGTTGAGTTTCATGCTCGCGTTCATGAACTGGAAAATCGTACAATCGTCTTAGGTGAACCATTTGATCAATCTAGACTTGTTAAAAAGATTTTACATTCGCTTCCTCCGTGTTACAGGATGAAGGTCACGGCCATTCAAGAGCATGACGATTGGGAGAATAAAACCATTCATCAACTAATGGGCAGCTTGCAGACCTACGAGATGGAAATCTTGTCCAATCACCCCGAAAAAAAATAAAAAATAAATAAAAAGTTGTGGCTTTTACAGCTGAAGACACAGAAACTGGATCCGATCCAGACGAGGTAAGTGATGATCCAGTAGTCTTTTTGACCAAAGGTTTTTTCAAAATTGTTGAAACAGGTTAAACAAAAGCAAACCACGAGGGGTGGTAAGTTCAATATCAAAGAAATTCAGGATCAACCATGCCACGCAACAATCAAAAATCCAATTCATCAAATTCCAGACCATCTTCATCACGCAACACTCAGTCAGAGACAAATCCGGTGGAAAAGGTATTAGATGCTATGAGTGTGAAGGATATGGTCATATCTAACATAGCTACGGCGCAAGAAGTCTATGGCAGCAACACTGACCTGGAGTGATGATGAACCTGAGACAGAGAATCCTTGATCTGACCCAGAAGAAATTTCAGGAAATTTTGTGGCATTCGCAGCGATCACCACCTTGGATGAAGGCAAAGAAGCTGCGACTGATTCTGATGTTGGAGCATATTCCTCGACGGAAGATCATAATCTATCAACACCTTTGTTTGAAGAAGAATATAAAAAATTGTATGTTAGATGGGAAGCTCTTGCAAAAATCAATAGATCTTTCTTTGTCTAGTCAAGTTAACAATTTAGAAAATGCTATAAAAGTGTATCTAAATCAAATTGTTGACAAAGATGTACTTATCCAAGATGGCCTCAAGCCTGAAGAATGTCTAAAACAAGAGTTAGAGATGCTCAAACGACGAATCAAGATGATGGGCAACACGTCAACTCTTGATCAAATTTTGGATTCTGGAAGGAAAACACCTACAAAGTTTGGTTTGGGTTTTTGCAGGTGGAAAAGACAAAACCGCAATAGTATTTGTGAAGGCCTCGGCTTCTGGCACAGCCCCTGAATCTGCTCCTGGACTTATCCCAAATATTCCTGAATCTAGCACTGTAAGGAGGAAAGCTAACTACACTAAATGGTTAAAATCTAAGTATGGATACTATAATCCTGTTTGTCATTATTGTAGGGTACGAGGGCATACAAGACCGGAGTGCTTCTACTTCTACAAAGATCAACGAATTGAGAAGTTTACCAGAAAGAACATCACACCATTCATAAAGCAAGTTTGAGTGATGAAAAATGATTTTGTGTGAACATCACACCATTCATGTCTCGTTTCATTCCACCAGTTCAAATAGAGAAGAAAGATGGTATTTTGACAGTGGCTGTTCACGTCACATGACGGGCAATTCAGCCTTCTTAAACAACATACAAGATAGTAAAGGTGAAGTCACTTTTGGAGATGGAGTCAATGGAAAAATCACAGGGGTTGGCACTCTAAATGTTCCAGGACTGCCCAAGTTGAATCAAGTTCTCCTAGTAAGTGGTCTTCATGCAAATCTCATAAGTATAAGTCAGTTATGTGACCAAGAGTGGAATGTATACTTTACAAAGGACAGTTGCAATGTCATAGACAACCAGAAACATTGTGTCATGGAAGGTAAGCGGTCTTCAGATAATTGTTATATCCTTACCAGTGATGTTCTCTGTTGCAGGTCCAACATGAAGGAATCCGAAATTTGGCATAAAAACTAGGTCATTTAAACTACTGCTCTCTGGACAAACTCATAAAAATTGATGGTGTTCGTGGTCTACCTAAGATGAAAGTCGAACCAACAGGTATTTGCGGGGCATGTCACGCCAAAAAGCAAACTAGAGCGTCTCACACTACTCAGAATGTCATTCAAACGACACATTGTCTGGAGCTGGTCCACATGGATCTTATTGGACCTACTAGAACCTAAAGCATAGGAGGAAAAAGGTACATTTTGGTTTGTGTAGATGACTTTTCACGGTTCTCTTGGGTTACCTTTCTCAGGGAAAAGTCGGAGACACTTGAAGCATTCAAAGCCCTAGGTCTTAAGCTACAAAAAGAAAAAAAAAAATGAACCTATAATCCAAATCAGAAGTGATCATGGACGTGAATTCGACAATCAAATGTTTGATGATTTGTGTGCAAGTTTGTGCATCACTCATGAGTATTCAGCACACAAAACCCCACAATAGAACGGAGTAGTGGAACGGAAAAATCGTACCATTCAAGAGATGGCTAGAGTGCTCTTAAATGCTAAAAATCTACCTCAAAAATTTTGGGCTGAGGCAGTGAACACTGCATGCTACACCATAAATCGAGTGTATCTTCGACTTGGAACTCATCAGACACCCTATGAGATCTGGAAATGTAAGAAACCTAATCTTAACTATTTTCACATTTTTGGCTCACGTTGTTTTATCTTGAAGGATCGGAATCCAACAGCAAAGTTTGAACCAAAAAGTGATGAAGAAATCTTCCTTGGCTATTCTCCAAACAATTGTGCCTATAGAGTTTACAACAAAGTTACAAAATCAATCATGGAGTCTGTAAATGTGGTGGTGGACAACCAACCAGATGATATAGTTAAAACTTTTGTGCCTGGATCTGTGTTAGGTTCTGAAACAAATAATCCAGAATCTACTGACACTGCCCCAGCTGTTGTGGCAGATCCAGTACCTACTTCATCTTCAACTCCTGAGTCTGAACTAGAGCAAGAATCTGGAGAGATTGATGTTCCAACTAGAATTCAAAAAGATCATCCAACTCAAAATATTATTGGAGATCTCACCTCCGGAGTTCGAACAAGGGGCAGAAAACGCAACTATCTTGAACTAGCCGGGTATACTTGCTACACGTCCAAAATTGAACCAAAGAGTGTGAAAGAAGCTCTAACTGACAACACTGGATTAAAGCAATGCAAGAAAATTTGGAACAATTTGAGAGAAACAAGGTATGGAATCTAGTCCCAAAACTTGACGGTGTAAATGTTGTAGGTACAAAATGGATCTTTCGCAACAAAATTTACTTAGCAGGTAACATAGCTCAAAACAAAGCAAGGTTAGTTGCTCAGGGTTATTCCCAGATCAAAGGAATCGACTATGATGAAACTTTTGCTCCAGTAGCACGACTTGAATCCATCAGGCTCCTTCTATCCATTGCTTGTGCTCTTAAGATAAAGCTGTTCCAGATGGATGTCAAAAAAGCCTTCCTAAATGGCTATCTGTCTGAAGACATATATGTAGCGCAACCTAAAGTCTTTGAGGATCCTCATCACCCTGATTATGTTTACAAGTTGGACAAAGCGCCATATGGTCTCAAACAAGCTCCAAGGGCTTGGTATGAAAGGCTATCCCAGTATCTACTCCAGC